TTTTTATCTTCAATAGTTATATCATTACCTTCAATAGTTATTGATTTTTTACCAATGTAAAATTTTTTATCATCTTCATTGTAATGTATACCCAATATGTCATCCGATACTTTTTTACTATTTTTAGCAGTATATAACTTTAGATATTCTGTTGCGATAGCTCCTAATGTCATGTTATTTACAACTTCAGGTGGCATAATTGCTTTAGTTTCAGTAATATATTCAGGATTTGAAAAAGTATTAGCTAATTGATCAGCTTTATTTTCTAATTTAGATAAGTCTTCTTTTATTCCAGATCTATTATTGGTTTGTACAATTTTTCCAAGTTAGTCTGTAAAGTATCATCACTTAACTTTTCATTAATAGAATCTTGATATACACTTTTCTTTAATCTATCAAGTTCTTTTGCTATTTTTAATCTTGCTTCAATATCTGTAGCTTTTACATACGACATTTTATATAAATAATATTTTTTTTTAAATCAACATATATTATGTTCAAGTAATACATAATATATGTTTTTAATTCTTAAGAGTATTATTTATCATTCCTATACTTTGATTCTTGTTAAATCTCATATTTAGCACTTCTATAACATCATTTGTACATTTTTCTATTCCTTTATTAAATATTGACTCTTTAGTCTGCTCATCTGTATCATTTTTAGATTTTGTTCTAATTTGTTCAGTCATAGCTTGAAACTTTTCAAGTTCTGAAAGTATTATATTAAATTCTGCATCATCAATATATTGATCTGATATAGCTTTAGAAATAAGACTACTTATTGTATTTAGTTTTGCATCAGCTAGTACTTTAATCTTTTCATGCTTTTCTGCTTTTAAGTTTAATTTTTTATTAGCTTGTGAACCTATTAAATTTACTGCTCCTATAACTAATGCAGCAATCTCACATCCAATAGCTACTGGAGCTAATACACCAGTTGCTAAACAACCAACTCCAGCAGCTCCTAATGCCATAGTGCTTGCTAGTAATGTATTATCAACTGCTGAAATGATTCTTAAAGCTCTATGATATTTCTTACTTAAGATCTCTCTTCTTTTCCTTTCACATTCTATTTTATTTTGAATTTCGTTAATCTTTTGTAAGCTAAAGTTATGGTCCGTTAATATCAGTGTTGCAGATGGATTTTCTGAAAACTGGCTAAGATCTGGATAAAGTTGTTTTCTTTGAAATAAATTGCATTCTTTTTATAAAAAAAAATTTAGTTTTAAGTCATTTTGTGACTCTTGCTTCTCTAAGTTATTTTAATAAAATTATATTTATAACGATTAAATATAATTTATTTACCAAAATTAAATATAGTAGAGTCTTTAGCTTTGTCAGATTTAGCGAAGCCAGGATCATTTTGCGATCTAGTATTATCTTCATCACATATAGTTTCTTTAATTATGTCTCCTATACTTGATAATATAGATTTCACAGATTGTTTATCACTTTGTGGCTTAGCAGAGCCTGGGTCCCTTTGAGACCTAACTTATTCTACTTTTTTATCAGGCTATAAATTAGCCCTATGTGATATATAATTTGCATTAAAAACACCATTATAAGATGAGATATAGCATAACAAATCTCCTTTTTTAATGTTTATATCTTTCTTATCATTATTATATAAAGTTATTTTAATATCATCAGTAGACTCTATTACGACAGAATTTAGTAAATTTAGTGTTGGCTTATACTTTTCTGCAAGTGAAATCAATACATGTCCTTATCTATTTCAACTCCACACATTAAAGAAATGTTATTATATAAATTTGATTTTACTGTAAAATCTTCTTGTGCGAATACTTTAATATGCCTATCATTTATTGCTCTATGTTCTGAATAAATTATTATTAAAAGTTATTGTATATTTTTCATGCTTTTCATAATTCAAAAACATTCTTCTTTTATTCGCATATAGCATTTTTTTTATAAATGTAAAGATTTTTTTATATTATTTTGTTTTTAAAGTTCTAACAATATAATTTACAATCTGTTCATTCTCATGTAAATAATAACACTTCTTATTATCATTTATATTTTTATATAAAGTTATTTTTCACCTTTTTTATTTTTTATTAATTTCTTTTCTGTTAATTTACATAGTTTAAATGGACAATTCATTACGTTTTCTTTAATTTCTTTTTTAGAATGAGCATATTTACATTTATCTTTTAAAGGACATTCTTTTTTACCAAGTATATATTTACATAATTTAGTTTTAGCTTTTCTTAATTTTAATAATTCCCACTTTTTAGGATGAAATAATCTACAATCTTTATTCTTACATTTAGGGTATTCAGAACAAATATTAATATGTTTATATTGACATGAAGATTTAGTGCATATTAATCTTTCCTTTACAGTATAGCATAAGGGAATATTATGATTGTATTTACATTTCTCTCCAAAAGGACAAAAATTATCTTTTAAAATATTTTTACAAAAAATAGGTAATTTTTCTATAAAATGAATTGTAGAAGGTTTTCCATCTTCAGTAAAATTAATTTCAACATTAAATGGTTTCTCAAAACTAAATTTTTTGTTTTTGTTATGTTTTTTAAAAGAAGTTTTATCTATAGCAGGATAATCATTATTAATAATATCATTGTAAGTTGGAATATAATTAATCCATTTTAGTTTATCTTTATACAATTCCATAATTTGTACTGTTTTTGAAGGAATTGGAATTATACATTTTTCACGAATTTCTTCCTCATCAGAATCATCAGATACGAAATATGTATTATTTTCAGACTCACACTCAGAATCTGATTCTTCAAATTCAAAGTTTCTTATTTCTTCAAAAAGTTCAAATTCTTTTTGGAATTCAAATATATCATCTTATCTAAATTTTGATTTTCTTCTGATATTTTACTTCTCTTTACTTTTCTCTTTACTTCTCTAAGTTATTCTTTATTTTATTTTATTATTCTTTTATTACTACTCTTTGTTAAGTTATATTTTAATATTAGTTTTTAATATAATATTAAAATTCAAAAAAATTTAAAATAACTTAAATAATTTTCTTGACTATATAAAAGAATGGAAAACGAAATGCAAAACAAAATAGCTAATTTTTATAAAAGATTAGAAGAATTATTAAGATTAATAGAAGAAAGATTAGAAAGAAGGTTGGATGTTATAGATACTAAAGTCACCTTTAATGAAAAAAAATTACTATGGGCAAAGTTTCCATTTATGAGCTTTGCAGGACCTGGAACTACTTTAAATGCAAGATTGACTTCTACTGAAGATACTGAAGATACTGAGTACACAGCATGGCGTCACACAATAGAAAAGAAATTGATACTAATTTTTAAATCTAAAAAATTGATTTAAAAATTGATTTCTTAGTTATATAATTTATACACACTATGGATGATAATGAACCGTATATTTTAATTAAATATATGCTTGAAAATATGGTTGAAAATAAAAATGGCCCAGAACTCTCCTCCTCCTACTACTCATAAGTTTTATGAAAAATCTGAATTTAGCTACAATTCAGTAGAAAAAAAGTTTCAAATACATTTCTACATCGTTATTCATGCTGTTTAATGTTTTTCCTAAACAAAATCAATCAAATGTAAATTTGGTAATGGAGAAAAGGAGTTTTTTGAAGATATAAAACTATTTAGAAAACTGGTTCACAGTTTTTTGAATACGCACAAAAATAAGAGGATTTTTTCATATAAACATTGATATAAACATGTTTTTCAAGCTTTTAAATCACAAAAAGGGCCTAATTGTTCTAAAATTCAAAACCCACTGAAGAAACAAGATAAGAAATTTAAGTTCACAAAAAATGATAAGTTTGCTAAAAAAGGTTCGATTTGGCAAGCTATTTGCAGGTTTGGCAAAAAATCAGCGCTCTATATTTCTGAATACACACTTTTTAGTAAAATATATGTTAAAGCGTGTTAACAAAAACAGCTTTTGCCTCCTACTAAATCACATGATAGTAGATGTATGTTCTGGTCTGATTTATCATCAAGTCATTATAGCAAACTGGTAATGAGATGGTATAAAAAAAAGACCTGAAAGTTGTATAAAATAGCAAATCCTTCAAACTGCCCAGTATTAAAAATTATTGCAAAGTACTGGGTAATTATTAGACAAAAAAAAAAAAAAAAAAAAAAAAAAACTATGCAGAAACATTAAAAATTTTGAAAAAAGAAAAAGATTTGAAAATGTCATTTAAAAAACATCAAAGAGTATTGATTGTTATTCTGTCGCAAGCTTATGGGTACCACCAAAATAAAAGTTTGAAATTTTATTAGATACCCACAGAAATAAATTAATTTCTTTGAAATATTTTATCTTTTTATATTAATGTATTAAAATTAATACTTAGTTTTCAATACCTTTTTTTTTAGTTGTTTTTCTACTTTCAGACTTATTTCGTGTACACGCTTTACAACCCTCTCTTAACTCTATAACTCTGAAACACAAACCTCAATGAACATGGCCCCTGCACAGAGAAACAAGTTTAGCGCAGTACTATCTGGGACATGGTGGTGATTGAACTTGGAACTTCTCTCTTATGAGCCAGGCGCTCTACCACTACACCACTACCACATTTTATCGCATTGCCAATTTAATGTATCTGTCTCTGCATTCATTAAAAACTTTTATTCTACTAGTTTTTTTCCCCGTGTTTCAATCCTTTGAAACTTTCTCCTATCTTCATGTTTTCGTTACTTAGACAAACTTTAACTATTTGTCAACTGTTTCCTTGCTCTATTCTTTGTTTTCTAATAACTCCCAACTCTGCAATGATTGCTTGCAGCCTTGCTGGAAGTGAATTGTAATTAAAAAAAAAATTAGAAAGCAAGAAATAGTTTTTTTTTTTTTTGTATTTATGAAACATGAACTGCGCATTATTTAAACATGAATTAATTTATCAAAGACTTTATACCTTGGAAAACTTTATGAAATAAAATATACTTTTAGAAATAAAAACCAAAAGAATGTGTATTATCATTTTTTTTTAGCTGAGTATAGTTATTCAAACATCGTATCGCAAGATTTTTTTTATGGTTCAGATTGTAATTGCATATATGGAGAATGTCCTTGTGAAACTCTTGGTAAGTATTTCCTATTTAAAATATTCTTTACTTTTTTTTGAAAGATATAACATACACAATGATCATAAATACTATTTTTGTTAGTGTCATTTTCTTCTTTTTTGTGTGTTTCATTATATTTATATAATCTTTCTTTTATTTTTATGGTTGTGTGTTTAGATATGACTGCAACAGTGGAGTATGTAAGTAGGCTGACAACATATTTTGAGGTTTTTGAAGATGATTATTTGGGATATGATCAATCAATAGTCAGCATAGTTGAAATGGACAATAATTACACTGACATTTATTTTGATAATATTGTTTTGGATTTTGACAATGTATTTTTGCTTGATGTTTATTTGAATGTCAACTTACTGTTTTCTAATACAGATGATACCATCAACATTCAGATATCCAACAGTTCAAACAGTAAATTTTTAGAATTAACTAAATTGGTCATTTCTAAAGAAGATGATAGCGTTTATATCACAAGTCCTGATCTGACTGAACTATTAAGAATATTTTCTCGTACAGCAACCCCTCTAACAGTTGCTTTTAGAATAAATAGTTTAAATATTCAACCGAAATGTTTTTTGAGAATAAAGTATAAAATAACTCAACCAGGTGGGAAAATATTTTTTTGTGTATTTGTTGTTTTTTCATGGTTTATTGTTTTGACTTTAAATTAACCATTTTTAAAAAAATGTTATTTTCTTCAATTTAATTATCAAGGTGGTTTTACTCATGCTAATGCTATACTGAGCAACTCAGAAGATATGTTTGCAAAAGTGCATTTTAATGTTATCGGAGAATGTGTTTCTTTCAAATTTAAATTTGGGGGGTCTGGGTTTTCAAATCTTGCTATTTTTGGTAATAAAGATTACATAAAGACAAGATTGGGATACTATTATCGTCAAGAAGCGCAAGATAAATGGATTAATGTTGATCTTGATTCAAGTTCTCAAAAGTTTCAAACTGTAATAGTTTTTTATTTTTTGTTTGTTAAGTATTATTATTTTTAGAAAAGATTTGATAAAATAATCAAAAAGATTTGATTGGCTAATCTCCTATGAAACCTAAAGTAATGCTTTTTGCAAGCTTTTTTATGGCCTAAAAATTAAATTTTGTTAAGGACATATTTTAATAAATTATTTTTGTTACAAATTCCCCAATGTAATATGAAAGTAATGCTTCAAAAGCAAATCACTTTAAACATAATAAATCACTTGAAACAATAGTAAATTATTTAAAACAAAAGTTAATCATGTTAATAACCAAAAAAGTGGCAAATAATTTATTTACTATAAAATAAAAAAATAAAATAAAAATTAAAATAAAATAAAAATTTTTTCTGTGTGCTCTAGAACAGAGTTTGTGAAACACTTCAGGCTTTATGTTTTTGAGTTTTTTTAACTATGTTCAAAGATCAAAGTTTAAGCTTTAATTAAATTTTAATTTAATAAGAAAAAATTTAGAATAATAAATAAATCATTAATTAAAAATTAAAAATGAAACGAAGTTATAATTTTATTTTAATTTTAATTTTGTTTTAAGATTAAAAAGAAATAATTAAAACTAATTAAAAATATTAATTTTAAAAATAAGATAAATATTAGAGACAATATAATAACTTATTTTTTAGGAAACAAGTTTTTGATAAAATGATAAAATATGTTTTAAAGAAAATAAAGTGAATTGCTATTATATATAAATAAATTTTAAAGAGAATAAATACAAATCTTTTAAATATAAATTTCTAAATGTAAATTCAAGCGTGCTAAACCATCATCATTTTAGAATAGTTGTTATCCTCATTGTTTAAGCATTTTTGTTTCTGTGTTTCAATTTCACAAGATCTTGAGCATCTTCTTTTCTTAATTGAATATTTTTCATACTATCTGTAACGCATCTATCTTTAAGTTTTTCTACTTGTACCCTTATCATTTTCTCCTAAAACTAACTTTTTAAATGTTGAACCAATCATTCTCATCTTTTTGCTCTACATGTTTCTCTACTTTTCTGCTCAATAAATTCTAGACATCATCAATCTTAACTGCTTGTGTCTTTAAGTGTCTTTAAGTCATACATTATAATTCTGTGGACAATTGTGGTGTATTACTGTCTTTAAGTCATACATTATAATTCTGTGGACAATTGTGGTGTATTACTGTCTTTCATTCTTTAATGTTGCACCTTTTTTTGTTAAAAAAGAAAATAATTATCTGAACATTTTTTATTTAACACAATTAAAAGTTTACAACTACAAATTTTGTTTGATGCATTTGAAGTTGAGACCCATTCTTAAAAAATGTACAAATAATAGAAAAAATGTACAATTTGTCTTTTTCTTTTCTAAACACTCTACATTTCACTCCTCTTTCCAGTATTTTCCACTTGCTCATTATTGACTCTAAAGTTCATAAATTTTGATTTACAGCTCTAAAGGATACATTTTTTTACCTTTAAGTCTAGTACCTCGTCAAATTCTGTTCATTTGATTGACCTTTGGATACAGCTTATTTGTCTTGTTAATTATGTTAATTAATTCTTATTTTAATTACTCATTTTCTATCTTGCTTTCTGATTAAATCAGTCAACTTGAGTTTTAAAAGCAACTTGCTCTTATGTTACTTTTTTTTGTCCTCTTTTTAAAAAGCATAAATTCCATTACATCTAAATTTTTTAAGAATATTTCTCATTTAAAATTTCTTAACCCCAACTCACTTTAACCATGTACTCTAAAAACCATCTGTGGTTGCACCAACATACTAATTCATGTCTCCACATACAATAAGACCTCTCAGTTTATTTCACATTTTGTTAAAATATTATCAATAACAATATATAGTTTTTTGTTTTCTTTTTTAAAAAGTATTTTTAAGAATAAAAATAGAAAAAAATTTTGAAAAGTGTTTTTTTTTTATTTTTAAAGTATTGCTTTTTTTTTAAAAAATAAAACAAAAAAAACAATACTTTGCAAATAATTAGAAAGAGCATGGTGAGAAATTTTTTTTGTCGTTAGTGTTTTCATGTTAATATTATGATTACATTAAAACATTATTAGGGCGTTGACGAATTAACTAGAAAATAATTTAACTGATTGCATTTTCAACTTTTTAATTATAGGTTGAATTTGTTGCTTTAAAAAATGGACTCGAAATTGGATATATTGCTTTTAATAGCTTTAAATTTTTTCAAAACTGTTCAACTGGAGATACAAGTTTAACAGGTTAATTATTTTTTATTTTTTATGTTATTATTTGAAAACTTTTTAAAAAGTAGTAATTTAATGTCTGAATTAAAGTAATTTATGTAACTCATAATCTATATAAACTGCTTCTCCTTATGAATATAACTCTTATTAATAGTATTTTGATGATATTTTTAGTATTTAAAAAATGATTAATCCATTGGGCATTACAAATATGCACTGCATATAACATTAAGAATAAATTTTTTTTATTAAATTGTTTGTTGAAAACCAGTATGAAAAGAAAAATCTTGAGAAATTATCAACAAAGAAAAATATGAAAAACTACAAACCACATAAAATTTTGTTGACATCAAAAAAAAAAATTGTTGAAAGTTTTTTTGTCTATTAAAATTTTTTTCTTTTTTCTAGACACCTGGGATAACTTTATTTATTAAAAGTCTTAAAAAAGGCTGAAGTTAACTGCTCAAAAATCCACATCACCTACTTATTACAAAAAAAAATCTTAGCTATCAATAAATTTACGTTAAAGGTGTCTACAAATTAAAGTATTTTCGTGTTAAAGTGATAGCTAAAAATTAACAATTAATAATTGGGAGAATAAGAATTTTTTTTTTAATAATTTATTTTGTAACTATATAAACATTTTACACATACATAACTCTAATACATTTATAAATAAAAGTGAATTTATATGAATACATTTAGAAATAATAAAGTAAATTTAAAAAATAAAATCATTTACTATACAAATAATGTTTAAGAAAATTAATGGCATACAGAATTGTAAATAAGATAATAAACTTCTTAAAAAATTGAGAACAGCATGTTATTCTAGGAAATACCATATCAGACTGGCTTCGTGTGCTTAGTGGGGTTCCTCAGGGCTAGGTTCTCAGACCATTACTGTTTTTAATTTTTCTTAAACAACTAGGCATCACAAATCAAAAATAAATCAAAACTTTTTGCAGATGACACAAAAATGATTAGAAACATTAAAAATAAAAAGGATTCTATCAGTTTGAAAATTATATCAACCTTATCAAAATGATGCAAAACATGGTGAATGTCTTTAAATGAGAGCAAATTAAAGCAATTCACATTGGTAAATCAATTCAGAAGTTTAACTATTAGGTAAATGAGCATCAATTATCAAAAGTAAAATTTGAGAATGATTAGGGACTGATCATCTGCTATGACTTTTAGTGGGACCAGCAAATTAACTCTGAAATTTCAACATCAAATTGCATATTGGTTCAGCTTAAAAACTCATTCAAATACTTTAGCATTTAAGATGCTCTTGATGTCAATGGTGAGACAACATCTAGAGTACAGTGGTTCTTTATGGAATCCAAATGAAAATCATCAAAGTGAATGAGAAAAGCCAGAGAAGGGCAACTAAACTAACATGTGAAGTTAGTAGTAAAACATAGGAGGGAAGCATCCACTGCCTTGGTCTGACAACACTTAAAAAAAGATAAATAAAAGGAGATCAAATACAACAACTCAAAATTAAAATGGAGTAAATAAAATAATCTTTTATTCAAGTTTAAAGGGATCCTAAACTCCCAACACATGTTGTGTTCATATTAAAGATAATGTTAAAAAAAAAGGTTTAAACCAACTTTTTCGATTGAAAATAAATAATGAATGCATACCGAGAAAAACTAACATTGTTGTTTTAGCCGAAGCTCGCCTTCTCCATTAACTCGGAGTCTTTAAATTATACGTCGCAATCTACAGACTTTAGAGATTCCTTTGAAGTGCGTTTAATTCATAAAAGTTTTAGCATTTGACATCACGGTAGGTTTTTAACAAAAGAAAAGTGTAATTAAACAATGCTGCGTTTTTCTACTGTAATTCAAAAAGTACGATGTAGTAATTTTTTAACATACAGCAAAACAACTTTTACAACAAATTTTTGTAAAAATCAAAAATAATAAAAGCTTTTTATTTCATAGGAGGAACTTTTTTTTTACCGATATCTTAATAGTTTTTAGATTTATATATCTTACTTATAATTCTTTTGTTTTTAAATTAAAATAAATATTAAAGCTACACTAACGAATCTTATGATTTTCATACGAGTGTTTTACATTATATAGAACGTTATGTATATGGTCTCTCGTTTTTGTGCAGTATTATATATGCTGAATCTTACTTATTTTTATTTAAACAATGGGAACTTTTTTCTAACTTCTCTGGTTATTTTTACGCTATGATATTTTTTGTTTTCTTGTCAAAAAAAAGTATTTATTAACAATTGATTTCGTAAACTGACAGTGTTAATTAATGTTTTAATACAGATATTTAATGAATTGTTAACTTTTTTGATTATAAAAATTTTTTGATTACGCTGATTTATTTTAAATTGCTGAATTGGATACGGATAAAAAGGAAATATCATTTTATTTTACATTTGATTTTTGATAATGAAACTTTTAAAATGTTTGCAACTCCATACCAATTAGAACCTGTTAAGGTTATGAAAAAAAAGTACAAGAATACACTAAACAATACAGTTGACAGTAGTATCAGATATGAAAGGATATGTGAGATCCTGGTTTTGCATCAAAAGTACAATTAATGGCAACACAAGTCGGCATTACAAATTTTGATTATAAGTTTGCTGTTCAATATTTTATAACCATCAAATAAAAAACATGAAGTTTGTATATTTTCGCCTGTTTTATACAACTAATATTTAACAAAAATACGGACAAATTATTATTATATAACGCAATAATTAACACATTAATTAATGGCAATAATTCAAGATAAATGGTAATTTAAATTGTCAAAATGTCATAACGCGCGTTAAAAAACATATTATATTTGGTATTTCCCAATTTGTGTCGTATTTGGCATTTGTCTCTTAACATGAAAAATTAAAAAAAATTTAAAACACAACAAATACAAATTTTCAAGCAATTTTCTCTTCCAATTTTCATTTATTCAAAGCAAAGTTACTATTAAACTTTTATTTCTCTCATCTAAAAAAAGAACGAGTGACGTAAAGATAAAAAAATATTCTATACAACTTTTATTCATTCGAAGTTTAATTACGCGAAACTTTTCTTTCTTCTTTTATAAAAAGAGCGAGCGATAAAATAAAAACTTTTCTTTCTTAACATAAATTTATACTTTGAGATAATATTAAATTAGAAATAAATCAACAATCAACATAGCAACTAACATATTAATCTGGGACTATTTTGATATTAATGAAAATAATCAACATAAACAACTTTACCAACAACAGTTATCAAATAAACAACACAATATCGCATAATTTTAGGGGCTTTTTATTTTTATTGCTTAGTCGTTCTAAATAATAAGTAAATTTAGTTCAAGTTAATATTCCAATATTTACAGTTGCAATATAGTAAAGAATTGATGTTTAATGTTGAACTTTTTATTTAATTATTTATTTTTTACTTACGTTTATTATAAAAAACTTGGAAACCCCCGTCATTAAAATAACTTGTTTTAAATATATTTCAAAGTGAGTATTCAAAGTAATTTTTTTCGCTTAACTTCCCAAACTTCATGCAAAGCAAATTGAGACGAAATATTTTCTAACCAAATAAAAATGCTGTTACTAAATTTATAAGGGTAATTAATTTAAAACAATTTTTTATCAGAGTCTTGATTGAGATAATAAATATTCATAATTTATAAACATTAAATATATTTATGTTTAACCAGCATAAAATATTTGGGGTTTTTAATATCTTTTTAAATGTTAAAAATAGAAAAAAAACAACTTAAATAATCAAAAAAAGTTTGAAAAAAAAAAAATAAAAATGTTTCCAGAGTTTCAAAAAGTCTACTGTATTTTCAAATACTAAAACTTTTATGAATTAAACGCGCTTCAAAGGAATTGCCAAAGTCTGTAGATTGCGACGTATAATTTAAAGACTCCGAGTTATTGAAAAAAATGGAGGAGGCGAGCTTCGGCTAAAACAACAACGTTAGTTTTTCTTGGTATATATTCATTATTTATTTTTAATCAAAAAATCTTGGTTCAAACCTTTTTTTTTAACATTATTTTTAATATGAACACAACATGTGTTGGGAGTTTGGGATCCCTTTAACACTGTGTTTCATCAATAAAAACTCATCAGAAATGAATGATCTAATTAATACAACTTCAATTTATACCAAAAAATTAAATTACAGGAAGTTGCAAATGTCATAACTACTATAACTTTTTACACATTTGTGCCATATGCTGACACTATTATAAAAAGAATTCTAAGAAGAATAGAACACTATTATAAAAAGAATTGATCTGCTTTTTTTTTATATATAATTTTTCTTGTAGGCATAGTATGCATTTTTTGTAAATATTGTTATATGCAGGTGCTGTTTTAAGAATGGACCAATTCATTATAAAATCATCAATATTTTCATCTTTTAATTCCTATATATATTTTGGCAGCATGGTGTCTTTTGAATATTTTTTATTTTTAAAGGATTGCTTATGATTGGCAAATCGTTTTTTCTATTCACCCTCTGTATGCCAATATATTGTTTATCAGGTACATTCTTAGAGGAAACCACACATTTATATACCACATTTTTAAACAACTTCCACTCATTGGAAAATTGTTTTTTTGTTTACAATCACAATTTTCTGTAGTTTTTTCATTTAGGATTTCTTTTTTGTTTAATAAAGCTTTATTATAACCTTTTATAATTCTTTCCATTTTTTGTACAACTGAAGCTGACTTTAATTGTATTTTGATTAAAAATTTTATGTAATTTATTAGAGGGCAGGAAATGCTTATCAACTAATTTAAAAAACTCTTTACCTATGTTAGTGGAAACATTTTTGCTATATGGGGGGTTAAACCAAATTACATTTCTAGTTCTATTTCTCTTTTTTGTATTCTTTTTTTCAGGGTCAAATTTTAGTTCAAAATTTTCAAAACTACTTTTTTTAAGGACATCTTCAAATATTTGTTTAGAATACATTTGAATACATTTTCATTAGAGGAGTTTTGGTTTAGCCT